ATAGGAACAAAATTCATAGACACTCTGTCCATTCCTTCACCAGGTAACTATTTTCAAAAAGTGTATTTATTATCAATTATCTGTGGGGAAGAAGCATACCAGCCACTGTGCAGTAACTGTAATAAAAGTCAATAGGACTGCTAAAATCCCTTCAAGTTCTGAAAATTCTGTTTGACATCCATATTATCAATTTCCATACATCTTGCATCTGTAATTTGAACATTAGGATTCTCTTTTGAAATTGTAGACTTTATTTGTCCATTGTTTGGCCTCCATTGCTGACCAACCTACAGTACAAAGGACTACTGACTTAATTTAGCATTTAGTTCAATACTGACTTATTTTGTTTTTTGTAAATATTTACTTTTTTACTTTGATCTCCTTAACTGGGTGTTAATGCCTTGAGGGCTGGAACTCTCATGTTTCCCTTGATTTTCACATAGCACCTGACATTGGCACAATGTAAATGTTCATTGAACATTTTGTGACTGGCTAATTATGGGTACTTTACACTTTATAAGATTATTTAATATGCCATATATAGATACCAGTGAAAAAGTATCAGTGAGGTGATTTATGTTACCAAAATGATTTTATTATAAAACACTTTAAGAACCATATTGCAAAACCTCTTTCTCTTCTCCCCCCCACTCCTTTCCCCTCTGTTTTCTTAACATTGTTCCATACACTCATCATCAAATCCATTATGTCCTGGATTTTTGCTGCTGCTCATGCTGAAGATACACTCTAGAAAGCCATTATTTTATGATTAAAATAGACTCTGCTTTTCCTCAGAAGATGTATGCAACCAGCCCCTACTCTGACCCTGTTGTGTCCATGGATCTGGACCCGCAGCCGATCACAGATGAAGAAGAAGGCTTGATCTGGGTTGTAGGTCCTGTCCTTGCCGTGGTCTTCATCATATGCATTGTCATTGCTATTCTTCTCTATAAAAGGTAGGTTTGCTCGATATTTCGGTGGCAGTTTTGCGAGGTGCCTTATTTTTGATTTGATCATTGTTCTGTGGTCAACTATATAGTAGGTTTTAGGAGAAATACTTCAGTGCAGCCCCAGTAATTGTTGGAAGAGCGTTTCCATTAGAGTTAGAACAAAATGTGAAGACTGTGCTATTTAGAATCTTATTCAATATGTGGTATAGGCTTTTGTTGTGTGACATGCATGTATCCTAGCCTCCATATTCTGAGCTGCTTTACACAGATGAGCACTTTTCATGACACTTGAGACATTAGTACGTTCACAAGCAAGTAATTCCATACTTGCTTGCATTTGATTGTTTTAGATGATTAATTGCTCAATTTCAACATGTTTGTGGAAATACTATTGCAGTTTAGCACATTCGTATCTATTTCATACATTTAATTTACACAGGTGCTAAGGTATTTCTCAGTAGCTATTTCTCAAAATTTAGCAAAAGTAGCTAAATATTAAAGATTAAATGAGAGAGAGAGAAAGAGAGATAGAAACCGAATTCCCTCCCACTTTTCTTATAACTCTTATTCCACATCGTCACTACTGAATTCTTGTTTGTGTCCAAGGATTGCAAAGGTACCATTTTCCTTTTTTAAACCACATCACCTCAGACTTTATACTCCCAAGAATCAATCTGATTAGTGTCTTTGAGTACAATTAGGATGCAAATAGTTCATATCTATCCAATCTTTTTGGATCTTTCACTCTTTTTCAATCCGTTTTCTACTTCCATTACATATAAGCAAGATTTTTCCCCCTAGGTCACTGCCCAGTCAGTTGAATAGAGGACGTTAGTAATTGTTCCCTTAAATCATTTCTGACTTAGAAATACAATGATAATATTAAATTCAATAAAATTATATAAATTAACATACAATACACTCTCTTAAACATTTAGATTGACTAAATTCAGATTATCAACCTTTATATCAATTTTTTTCTCCCAATTCAAATTTTATTTTCATAAAACTTTAATCCGTGTTTCCATTTTTCTCTGTAGTTTGTCATGTTTTGGAATGCCACTATCAAGATGAACTTTTCCCTCTTCTACAACATAGGTTCTCTCTCCTTCTGCCTCCCTATAACCTTGGCCTTCAAAATCAAAAAAGAATGTCTTCATTTTGATTTTTGCTTACATTCTTAACCTGATGATCTTATTTCCTTTATTTTTTTCTTTTACTCGTATAGCTTTCTTTCCAGGATTTATTTTAATTATTTGTACCCACATCCCCTCATTCTTGTTATGTTCCTAGAATAGCCTTTTTTTGTTTGTTTTTTTCATAACTTCTTATCCTAACTCAAAAAAATTCTTTGGAACATTTCTCCTTTGAAAAACTTTTTCTTAGAAGGTTCTATTTCATTTTATTCTAGCATGAAAAGGGGATTGAGAAAATAAAGACAACTGAAAGCTGTTCATAACCATAACCCATTAAATTGCCTATCCGATTTTAGAGTTAGAAAGAATGAAAGAAATATCCATCATTATTTTTTCTTGATCACCGCCATTATTCAATTATTCATGCCATGAAATAGCTGAAAAAGCAAGTGACTGAAGGCCATAGTCTCCTCTTAGTTGATGTTTTGAAACTTCTCGTCCCAATTGGTATCTTCGTGTATAACTTAAGGAGCCCATTGTATTTTAACACCTTTCTCTTGGGTGAGAGGAAGGGGCAGGAAGCACTAGGAACCTTCATGCCCCAGAATAATCATAGATCCTGTCTGAGTCCAAGCAGGAGCTGGTGCTCTTTGCTATTCATGTGCTGCATTTATTGCCAGAAGAGAATGCAATAATGAAAAGGCAAAAGTAGAATTGTAATTATCTTTTGATAAGTATTCATTCAGGTGGTCACATCCTATTGTGGAAGTCAGGTCAGAAAACAAGTGCTTGTTGACAGGTGCAATTTTAGACCATATCACATGACATTTTTTTTTTTTATTATTCAAAATGGACAAAATGCATGCCTTATTTTGTAAGTTGTTTCTTTCAAATATATCTGGCTATCATTAAGTCATATCACTTAACAGAAATATGTATGGTATTTGTGAATCAGTTATGTAAATATGAAGAAATAGGATTATAGCCCTGATAATTTTTGAAAGATTTATAATTGTTTTCCTTTCTTTATCTATGTGTACTTGAGGAAAATAATTATAGTTTTTCCTAATTCTGAAAAAATGGCATCATATTTAAAGATTTTATGACTGTTAAAATACAGTTGCATTTTAGTGTATGCATATGTAAGCATTGTCTAATGCAATTGTTGGGAAATGCACACATCCTCGAATGCTAAGTATATTTAGCTATCCATCCGAAGGCCCGTGAAGCATTTCTGAAATAGAAATGCTTGCTTCAGCAGTAGAGAACATTCCTGACTTGAAATTCAAGTAGACACAACAATGTCCTTCTTGATTACCATGAGGCAGTTCAAGAAGAAATCTTCTGTACCCAATGAATAGTGTCTTTTATAGCTTGATTCTGAGCAAAGTTAATAATATAATAAATACTTCATTTCCTTATTTTAGGTGTCTTTCATTTTATACACAGATCATTGATAATGACTCAGAATTGAAAGAATCATCATCATTATTATTATCATTGTTAAAGTATTTTTTACTATATGCAAATGATGCTTTAAGAAGGGAATGAGTATAAAATATTGACTTACATTGTTTTTATAATCCCCTTTATCATATACACTTGCTCACAAGACACGTGCATTAGAAGTAGGTCTGTAGCTATGGATGGTTTGTCCATATAAGGAAGTGTATTTTACCCAGCTGTCTGAGGAGACTTGTAGACTTATTTCATTTAATTATATTAATGAGGAAGGAAGTAACACTCTTTTATCTGGCATTCTGTTCATTTGACTTTGTTTTAAATCTAGTAATTTGTATACCTGTAATACATTGATAATCATTAACAAAAAATATAACTGAGGTTTTATAAGGTCCCTAAAATACCTTCTGATCCATCAAAACATTAAGATATATTTAGTAGGTCTTTAGTGCCATACTTTTTTGTACTTTTTTTTTTTGAAATTTTACTCCATATATGAAAAGTGCAAATTACATTAAATTAAAAATTAAAATGCAAATTACAGAGATAAGATGGTATAGCAAGGTTTAGAAAAACACTGAATTAGGAGTCAGAAAACCGGAATTCTTGTCCCAACCCTGTGACTAGTTGGCTCCACAGGGTAGAAAGTTATGCCTATATTCTGAAATTTTACTCCATATATGAAAAGTGCAAATTACATTAAATTAAAAATTAAAATGCAAATTACAGAGATGAGATGGTATAGCAAGGTTTAGAAAAACACTGAATTAGGAGTCAGAAAACCTGAATTCTTGTCCCAACCCTGTGACTAGTTGGCTCCACAGGGTAGAAAGTTATGCCTATATTCTGGGCCCAGATTTCCTCATTTATAAAGTAAGTAGGTGGATTAGGTGATTAAACCTTTAAAATAATAATGTTCCATAACCTGAGAACATGAAAAACAAGGTCGTAGAACTAGTACTGTGTTATTTCTGCCTCAGATGTGTATGTTTCAAATATGGTTCCAGGCCCTTCCTCATTTATTCACCCCCTATTATTAGATATTCATCTACTCTGTACATTTTTTACATGTGTAAGGCTTTTTAATCATTAATGCTGGAACTATCCAAGAATTACTTATATAGAAAATAATATTCAAAAACATATGTTAACCTGACTCTATGGAAAAGCATTTCAAGTTGGATGAGAAGGGTTTATTATGTACCATGGAAAAAAAGAAAGTGTGGATTAGGAGGTCGGAGAAGTTTAACGCACGCTTTAGGCAAAATTTACGGCCTTGAATGGTAATAGTCTAACCTGAACAGACACTATAGAGAGAGGAAATAATTCCCATCCCATCCCAAGATGTTCACGTGTGAAGGCGTGAGGTAGATGTGACTGATATATAGACTTCAGCTTTTCCCAGCTCCAACATCGGCTCACTGCGGGCTTTGGTTCTTTAAGTCTTCTCATTTTGGGTCAGCCCTACATATATTTCCAAGCTCTCATCAAAGAAAGTAGTGCAGTTCAGAGTATTCAGAGATGCAGTGAAGAAATATGCGGCTGCACTCTGCCACACTGGAGAATGCTGGTTGGCGTGCATTCTGGCCTTTGAGTAGGGACCCTAAGGCTGGGATGCCTTTCCTCTTGCTCTCCTGCTACTCCTTGTGGCCTGGCTGACCCTAGCTCATCCTTTAGCAGTAAGAAAAGACGCTACCTACTAAATCCAAGCCATTCTCCGTCCCTCCTTCTTCCCCTCTCCTCTCTACCAGTTCAGTCTGCCTTGGGACCCGCTTTTCTAAGCTCGTAAAGTACTTTCCACTTATCTATTACAGAAGCTACTGCGTTACTGTGCTACCTACTAAATCCAAGCCATTCTCCGTCCCTCCTTCTTCCCCTCTCCTCTCTACCAGTTCAGTCTGCCTTCGGATCCGCTTTTCTAAGCTCGTAAAGTACTTTCCACTTATCTATTACAGAAGCTACTGCGTTACTGCATTTGACCATTTTCTTAACTCTCTGCCCCACTAAGGACTCTGTCTTACTCCTGATTGTATCTATGTGCCTAGTAGAGTGCCTGGCACAGAGCAATATTGAGTAATTGAATTTTTACCAGTCAAGTAGCATTAAACAAACTCAGTTCCCTCTCCTTGTTTACTCTGTCAATCATTATCACTTTCATCTTGGCTGGCAAGAGCTGTAATAAAACCCTAGGCCTATAATTTAAATGGACCAGTTGTGAAGGCCTTCAAACTTAGATATCTGCACCCAGTATGTACTCATGTGTTTAGTGAGGCTGACATTTTTATAGAAGAGGGAAGTGGATCACACAGTAAGTATGTGTTTGCTCATCTCAATACTCAAGCAACCTTTTCTTATTAATTTTTGGCAGCTGGCCAGTACAGGGATCAGCCCTGGACCTTGTTGTTATCAGCACCACTAACCAACTGAGCTAACTGGCCAGCCTCAAGCAGCCTTTTAATACATAAAGCTGATAAATCACTGAAAGGTTCTCTTTCATTCCAAAGAATAGATCTTCCTACAACTGATTCCCTGATAAAATCATTAATAAAAATAAGCAAGTTAGAAACATATGAGGGTACTTCAGAAAGTCTGTGGAAAAACTGAATTAAAAGATATTACAAATCCTTCTGTGAAATTTTTGAAGACCTTTCATATAGGTAGGATTTTTAAAAATCTGGTACACTAGGTAAAGCCCATTAAAATTAAGAATAAAAGGAATTAACTACTGTGTTTGATCATTTTAATCATTCACTTTGTATGTGTGTGTTTGTATAATTTAAATGTGGATTTTTTTATTCTTGAATAGAGATGGACTGGATTATCTCTTAGTGCCAGATTCTCCAGCAACATAGGTATATATTTCATTGGCATTAAGAAAGACTTAGTACCTTTATTTTTGTAATTGGAAATTCACTGAATACTTTGCAACTTGCCTCAAAGTGAAGATTATTTAGATTAATTCTTTTCGGGAAAAGTTTATACACTCTGCAAACATGATATGGTCATTTAAACAATCAACATATTATCATACATGGAATTATCTGGGGATGAGCTAGATGTGTTTACAGACAGCAGCACCTCTTTGACTAGGAAAATATCTGTCACGTCAGTGACTGGTAATAAAATGCTTTTCTGGATTAGCCCAGCTATATAGATGGGTCATGCTCTGTAGATTTAAAATGATGAGTATTATATTTTCCAAAACTGGAAATGTATTTAATCCTTTATTGGAAAAAAGATTTATGATCACCTTACTTGTCAAGAGGTGTTCTAAGAAATCATTTCTGCCACTTTATTACCTTGCGGTGTATTATTCAATTGTGCAAATTTTTGTGCAGTTCAGTGCAATCTGCAGATATTTTGTACTGTTAAAGAAATAATGCACCTCTTAACTAAAGACATTTTTTATTTTAAATGAATGAATTTCTTTTATGGAATAATGTATTCTCATTGAGTACAGTAGTAGTTTTCTCATGGCATGTTTTGTAAAAATCATATCTCTACCATCAAACACCTCCTGGGATGTGATTAAATGTAGCAATATTTTGTAGTTGATGAATAAAAGTGAATGTGGCATTAACCGAAACACACACACACATACGTTCTTTATGCAGTGATGTAACCTTATGTCTTCCAATTACTTCGTGATTAGAGGCCTTTAAAGATTTTGATATGATGTCATTTTTAATGTGTGTCAGTTATGTGTCCTTGCTTGTGAACACTATTTCTTAAACCTTGGTTGTCATGGTTACTCTTGCTACCATTGGCCAACTAACATTTAGCCTTTCTTTTTCCTTTTTTGCTGCATTAAAATGGAGCAGTAAACCTGACAGGTGAGGAAGAGAGAACAACCCCTTTAATGCTCAGTAGGAAAAAAATAAGATACTGGTAGACTTTGGAGGTGTCGCAGAGGTGAGGGTGGGGGCTAAATATAAAAGATTATACCTTGCAAGTGAAAGATGGACAAAGCCTACATGTATATAATAACTTAGATAGTAAAATGATTCTTGAGAAAATAAATATTAGTCTGTGTAAGAGAAAAAAGTAGATTATTTCTATTTAAAGCCAAATTTAGAAGGTAGTAAAAACAGTCTCTGAGTTTTGTCTGTGGACAAGGTTAAATGAGCATTTGTATGTGTTAATGTGTCTGTAAGAGAAAAAAGTAGATTATTTCTATTTAAAGCCAAATTTAGAAGGTAGTAAACACAGTCTCTGAGTTTTGTCTGTGGACAAGGTTAAATGAGCATTTGTATGTGTTAATGTGTCTATAGGGCAGGAATGTTAGGTGTCCCATAAGCCTTTTTGTTTTGTTTTGTTTGTTTTTTACTGAATATCAGCTTTCAAGTTTGATCAGAGATTACCTTGTGATACAGGAATGCTCACATTTTCACACCTTGCAAATTTATGGCAGTGCCTCAGTGAAAACTCATACCTAATTCAAAATTATTATCTATGTCTTCCAGCCTTGAATAATAGTAGCAGTAATAATAATAATAATAGCTAAAAGAGACTGTTCAATTACTGAATGATTGCTCCAAACTAATCTTCTAACTTTCTAACTATTTATATACATAAATATACATTCCTGATTAAAATTAAACTAAGACTAGAATCTCAAAGATCATCTGCCTTCCTCCCCATGTCATATTCTAGTAGTTCTCAACAAGTGGTTCCTGGAGTAACAGCAGCAGCAGCATCACCTGGGAACTTGAAAGAAAACAAATTCTTGGGCTACACCCCAGAAGTACTGACTCAGAAATTCTAGGTGCTGATCCAGCAGCCTGTTTTATAACAAGCCCTCCTAGATGAACAAGCTAAAGTTTGGGAACCACGGCTGCTTTTTTTTCTCCAAAGTCACTTTACATTGGTCAGAAAGCCATACGTTCAGTGATAGGAATTGTAAAACCTTTTTGTGGACATCCCTACTTGGCATTAATCCATCAGAAAAGAGTTTGATCAGAGATTGCCTCGTGATACAGGAATGCTCACATTTTCACACCTTGCAAATTTATTGCAGTGCCTCAGTGAAAACTCATACCTAATTCAAAATTATTATCTATGTCTTCCAGCCTTGAATAATAGTAGCAGTAATAATAATAATAATAATAGCTAAAAGAGACTGTTCAATTACTGACTGATTGCTCCAAACTAATCTTCTAACTTTCTAACTATTTATATACATAAATATAAATTCCTGATTAAAATTAAACTAAGACTAGAATCTCAAAGATCATCTGCCTTCCTCCCCATGTCATATTCTAGTAGTTCTCAACAAGTGGTTCCTGGAGTAACAGCAGCAGCAGCATCACCTGGGAACTTGAAAGAAAACAAATTCTTGGGCTACACCCCAGAAGTACTGACTCAGAAATTCTAGGTGCTGATCCAGCAGCCTGTTTTATAACAAGCCCTCCTAGATGAACAAGCTAAAGTTTGGTTAACAAGCCCTCCTAGGTGAACAAGCTAAAGTTTGGGAACCACAGCTGTGTTTTTTTCTCCAAAATCACTTTACATTGGTCAGAAAGCCATACGTTGAGTGATAGGAATTGTAAAACCTTTTTGTGGACATCCCTACTTGGCATTAATCCATCAGAAAAACACATGCAAAATTTTTTTTCAGCCAACGATGAAACACTTTGAACGCCCTTATTATACTCGAGAGATCTCCCTTCCGTTATAACACTGTCCACATTTTACAACTTAATCACTGCCTTCTTGTTCTAAGATGAGAGAGTTGGACCCAAAGGGCCAAAACTTAGACATCATCTTCTAATCCTCCTCTAATTTATAAGCGAAGATATTGAGAAGGTTTATTGTTGACACACAGCACCAGAGTTGGGGTTACATTCTTAGTGGTATCAGAATCGTGAAGTGTTTGAACTGATTTCTTTGAATGTTAATAGTAGAGATTTCAAATAAGTACTTCATTCTTTCAAAAGCCCATGCCCCTATGTCTGAATATCTTTGTTCCAAGACCATAAATATGATCTTCCACACAACCTCTCTTTGTTCTTGCTTCTCTCCTAGATGAGAGCCAGGTAAAAGTGCAAATAAAACACCGCTTAGACCACGGAGTAGCATTTTGGTTGACATTACCCACATCCCAGACAACCG